TTCCCATCAGTATAATGTTTCATTATTTGTATTCTCTCTTGTAATGTGCTGAACTTTTTAAAAGTAAAGGACCATTTTCGATGCCTTTAGGCGAATAGGGCATATAGGGCTAAACCTATATTTTACAGACCAATAGGCATAAGATGGGTGATGTGGTCAGCATCACGCCGGCCGCCTCTACTTCCCGGGACTGCACCCTGTACCCACACAAGGCTAGGTCGACCTGTGAGCCAAGATCATTTTTGAAAAAAGTCCGGCTCCGCCAGGGAGCGAACCCACGACCTTCCTATCTGCGGCGAGCGTCTAGCCGCTCCGCCACGGGGACTCCCGCTGAACTTTTTACCCACTGATTATTTTCGCAGTAATTACCCCACCTGCAGCATCTGTCCCGAATCCTTAGACTAACGGAGTTAGATCAGGAGGTATCACCGCAGACTAACGGGGTTAGATCAGGAGGTATCACCGCAGACCAACGGAAGAAAGAAGGATTACAAGAGGGGAAATTTGCGAAGAGAAGGACTGGTAGTTGGCATAAGTACACAACTCTAGCCGGTGGAATTTAAGAGAAATAACTAGCGCCGTCTCTGCTTTGTTATTTCCTCTATGAATATTCACAAGACACCATAAGTGGGTCCGGTATTTTCTGATTTGCCGTTAGCACTTTAGGGTAGAAGTAGAAAGTGGAATACATAAATACTTCTTTAATCACACATTTCTTGTGTTATGTACGCCCCTGTCCCTCCCCTCCCCCATTTTTTTTAAAAGTATATTTGACATTCATTTCGTTTGTTATGTGCTCTGCCTTCCCTTGCTCCTGTGTGGTACCTGAGATCTTTAAGTTGGTTATGACCACAGTATTGTTCAGAAGCCATGAAAAACCGCGCGAACAAATGAACATAGAACTTGCTAGTTGTAATCGTCTTACCAAGATTGTGATAGCGCTATTACGACCTGCTTGCATCTCTAATATTCCATTAGATGACAGCAACAGCGACAACACACGTCGAAGTCTAATAAAACCCAATTACGAAACACAAAATCAACGTTGCGGTCAGAAGAAAAAAAAAAAAAAAACCTCAGCCACCTAAAAGAATTCATAAAATAACTCAATCCCGGGGAGTTCTCGCGCAGCAAATTTTTAAGGTAATGACCACACATTTTGACCGCTGGTTTTTGCCATATATTTATAATGCTGCTTACCTTGGCGTTGCTGTGACCATCCTGATTTTAACTTCAGCTGAACAGTCTTCATTACTGTTGATTATGGAGTCTAGATTTTAAAGTTTGAGATATTTTCAATTTCTTTATCATCGTTATTTCTGGGCGTTAGACAGGAAAAGAACATACATTTTTTTTTTTTCAAATATAAAAATCATAATCATGTACAGGCCAGTATCTCAGCTGCTGAGCAACCACGGTTCATGCATAGATGCTGAAACCTTGGCGTTTAAGCACCGTGAGCAAACCCCCCCCCCCCCGCCACAATAAAGCCATTGTACTAGGCACACACAAAAGTAAACACGCTGTTTTTAACAGGGTTTAAAGTGTTTAAATTGTTTGTTTTTTTATCGAACTAACACGCAACCGCACCCCTCCCCCGCCAAAAAAAGCACACCCTACCCTCCTCCATGAATGTATTATTTTATTCATTTGCTGTAGCGCATTATGATTGTTATTATTATTGCCCATTTAAACAAGAATTATGCACTTAGAACACCTCCCTCCCCCGTGTATACAATTATAAATTCACTGTGCACCCCCCCCCCCCGCCTTTTTTTTAAAAAGGCTTTGGCGCCTGGCTTCTAAATAGCGGTTGAAATTTATAACTTTACTTTTCCAAGACAGGGGGTAGCTGCTTTTCACCAGCCGTAACTTAACCGCCTTTCAAGACAGTATAGATTACCAATTTACTGTTCTTCGAATCCCTTATGAGCGCCAGTAACACACAAGAGGTGGACGCCAATCAATTCCCTGAAATGTATTGCCCCAGCCTGGACCGACATGGCCGTCACAAGGAAAGAAAGCGAAGAGCAGAAGCGGAAATCACACCGGCGTACTATCATCTTGGCGTGCAATCACGTGATTCAAGATGGAATCTCCCTCGCAGTGTATGGCTTTTTTTTGAAAGGGGAAGCGAAAAAAGGAGGGAAATAGGAAGAGGCAGAAGAAACACGGAAATGAACGGCTCTTAAAGCAAGTGGGTCGCTTTAAGCACTGCAGAAAATTCAAAAGGAGGAGGAGGGGGAGGGGTGGGGGGAGTTTGTGGAATATATCATTGTCAACTTAACGAAATTACTAAATATTTTTCTTTTCCTTTAAAGCCAGTCTGATCGGCGCCGGATGGTTGCAAAACAAGTAGTGGTGTTTGATATTAAATGGTTCTGTGTGTTAAAGTTTTTATTTACTCTCTTCATTTCACATTTAACCTCATTCATTCATCCGTCAGTCAAGACATCTACACTCTCATGTTTTTATGTAATAGTCAAATTACACTCTTGTTTGTTTATCTAATAGCGCAATTACACTCTAATGTGTTTATCTAATAGCCTTATTACACTTTAGTGTGTTTATCTAAAGCCTTATTGCACACTAGTGTGTTTATCTAATAGCCAAATTAAACACTGGTGTGTTTATCTAATAGCCAAACTACACACTCGCGTGTCTATCTAATAGCCAAATGACACTCGCGTGTGTTTATCTGATAGCCAAATGACACTCGCGTGTGTTTATCTAATAGCCAAATTACACACTCGTATGCATATTTGATAGCCAAATTACAGACTCGTGTGCTTATCTGATAGCCAAGTCACACATTCGCGTGTCTATCTAAAAGCCAAATTACACACTCGCATGTCTATCTCATAGCCAAATTACACTCGCGTGTGTTTATCAAATAGCCAAATTACACTCGCGCGTGTTTATAAAATAGCTAAATTACACTCGCGTGTCTATCTAATAGCCAAATTACTCTCGCGTGTCTATCTAATAGCCAAATTACACTCGCGTGTGTTTATCAAATAGCCAAATTACACACACGTATGTTTACCTAAAAGCCAAATTACATTCTCACCTGACGGATCTTATAGTCAAATACATATGTCAATGAGCAATTCATCATTTATCCATTCAGCTGTTAATAAAATTTTTCTTTCCATTCATCCTTTACACACACACATCCACTAAGTCGTGAATTTATTCAAAAACACTTTTATTGATGCTCACAGTGACTTATTCATCAGTTTCATCCCTATTTCATACCATTCATACATCAAAACAAACAGTATCCCCATCCACATTTCCACTTATGAAACTAATATTTTACTAATATATGCACCCACTGAAACATATTACCAATTAACCTTCCCCCAGTGCATCCAGACTTGAGTAATTATCAGTTTATCCACTTGAATTATTTATGCATCCATCCAACATTATTTCAGCTGTTTCATGCAGGCAATAAACAATATATTTACACATGTTATGTGTCTATTCATCTACTTATCTATGAGCTAATTATCTATCAATCTGAAAGATGCATCGTGTATCTATCCAGGTATTCATCTATATCCAAATCTATCTTTGCCCGTGTATCTATCGCCCTTTTATGTTTCCAGCCAAGCGTGTGTCCATCCCTTCATGTATGCATTCATCTATCCGCCTGTTTTGGATCTTGTGTGTTCATTAGGCCCATGGTTGAGCCTTCCCTGGTGATGGTTCTACACAGGGCATCTCTTGGTCTTTCCCATTTTCTTTTTCCTTCTGGTGACCATGTGAGGGCTTGATGGGGGAGTCTCTTCTTATCCATTCTGAGTGCATGGCATATGTAAAACATCCTTTGTTTTAGAATCAGATTTCTAGCTCTAAATATTATGATGAGCACATGCATCATCCCTATATCCCCTACCCGTGCATCCAACAAATTAACCATTCATGTTTCCATCCATCAACTAATTGAGTATGATCCGGAGGGTTCAGGCAGGTTCGGTGCGAAGACAATGGCTTGAATCATTACAGAAGTCCACTGTGCGTGGAGTCACCTTTATTTTTGTTCCGGGACACGCAGGCGTCGATGGAAATGACAGAGCTGACAGGTTGGCTGGATCCGCTATCACTACCGACGGTCGGCCTATGGATCATGCTGAAATTATCAATGCCCTCAGAGAAATGGGAAGGATAGAGGACTTTGGTGGCAGTGAATCCACATCACTCGCCAGAATGGCAGATTTGGGAATTAAGATCGGCATAGCAAAAAACGAGACGCACACCAGAAATGCCAGAAGACTTGTTAATCAACATAGAACTGGTACTATTAGCCATCGGACGTTGCGGTTCATACTGAGGGGAGGATCTGAGCACCTATGGACATGTCCGGAGTGCAATGATGATAACCCAACTAACTAACTAACTAACTAACTAACTAACTAACTAACTAACTAACTAACTAACTAACTAACTAACTAACTAACTAACTAACTAACTAACTAACTAATTGTTCTTATACATCAATGCACCCATCCTGTGAAATTGTGGTAGGGCCACGCCATCCCTCTAGTGCCGTTAAGTTTAAGCATTGTTCATTGTTCATTGAAAATGATCATCATCGCACATTGGACATGACCATAAGTGCTCCGATCTCCTTCTGAGTATGTCTCTAAGTGTTTTTAGGCTAACAATTCTCATTCTGTTCTGGGTAATGTAACAATGGGTGGCTCCCGTATGGTTTTCCTGTCTCGCTGCTCCAGCTAGTATACTCAGGCTATGCAGTTTATTCTGTCATTTTCCACGAAACTGAAAGGCTTCACAGCTTCATAACAAAATGAATCTAGCTTCACGAAGCCGATGTGCCTACTGTCACAAAAAGAGGGTACTATAATTACTGACTCGCGTTCACCCAGTTAGGCATTCATGTATCAATCATTTTTTTCACTTATCCATGTATCCATGTATCCATGAATGCATCCAGGTACAGTCACCTTTATACTTATATTTCTCACACGCAGGTGAGGCCGTAGTTGTCAACGCAGACCTCAGCCTTCGCTCCATGGGGCCGATTTCAGAACTCAATATGGTAATTATACACCTTCTTGTGCAATCCTCCTGCTTCTTCATCATCGTCATCTTATTCTCCTAGGTCTGCTTCTCTTTTCTTCTCTTTTCCGTTATCAGCATCACTGTCATCGCTGGGTAACCAGGTTTTTTTGTTGTTGTTGGTATGCAACGGTACACAGTACCGGCACCTCTTTTAGACATCATTCTTTCAGGCTACTGTAGTAGACATCTTGTGGTGGGTAACGTGCTTCTTTGCGACATCATTTTTTTTTAGACTAACGTAGAAGCATCCTGTGGTGAGTTTCGGCACTTATTAGACATCACTCTCTGAGGCTGCTGTAGTAGCATCTTGTGGCAAATACCGGCACCTTTTTAAACATCATTCTTTCAGGCTGCTATAGTAGACAGCTCTAGGTGGGTACCGGCACCTTTTTAAACATCATTCTTTCAGGCTGCTATAGTAGACAACTCTAGGTGGGTACCAGCACCCTTTTAAACATCATTCTTTCAGACTGCTATAGTACACACCTTTTGGTGGGTACCGGCACCTTTATAAACATCATTCTTTCAGGCTGCTATAGTATACACCTTTTGTTGGGTACCGGCACCTTTTTAAACAGCATTCTTTTAGGCTGCTATAGTATACACCTTTTGGTAGGTATCGGCACCTTTATAAACAGCATTCTTTCAGGCTGCTATAGACAACACTTTTTGGTGGGTACCGGCACCTTTTTTAAACAGCATTCTTTCAGGCTACTGTAGCAGACATCATGTTATGAGCACCTGCACGTTTTTAGACGGCTTTCTTTCAGGCTACTGTAGTAGACATCTTGTTATGAGCACCTGCACGTTTTCAGACAGCTTTCTTTCAGGCTACTGTAGTAGACATCTTGTTATGAGCACCTGCACGTTTTTAAACAGCTTTCTTTCAGGCTACTGTAGTAGACATCTTGTGATACGTACCGGCAACGTTTCTAGACACTTTTCCGGAAGAAAAAAGTAATGTTACCTAAACACACCTGTCACTTTCATCGTCGTCATCATGGTAAAAAATTTGTTTTCGTACTTTCTACAACCTGATCTACTTCTTGCTGTCGTCTTCTCTTTCCTCTGTGGTCATCTTATGATGCCTTCTTAACCGTTTGAAAATAAAGTTCGTTAGTTTATCTCCTTCTGACTTCGTCTTCTATCATCTGATTCGTCTGTTTTCTTCTTTACTAATCTAGTTTCCCCTCTTCTTAAATGTTTTTTTTTTTTCTGCGTTTTCTTTCTTGTCGCATTGTTTTATTATATGGACACGTTCACGTTTCCAGGCCCATGATTAGAGTAACTTCCCTTGCCATTCATGCCTCCTTAGGTCGCTGGACCTCTCCTAGGTTGCGGGAGTGTTATGATATGGCTTGGTTTAGCATTCGCTCGGTGTATGTTATGTTTATGGGAGGTTGTGCTTTTGTGAGTCTATTTCATGCGCCTGCGTACAAGAAAATAAAAAATCAACTTCTTCTTTTTCCTTTGAGTTTATTTTAATGTTATCAGCACCTCCTGTCTTCGACTTGTTTTTAGTTTTAATCAGTGCGGTTTTTAACCACTTTCCGGATTCGGCAATACTCAGTCTGTTTTCATATAATGTCTTTGTTAATGATTCATTAAATTGTGCAGCCTATCACAACCATAACAAAGTAGACATATCCCACAAGAGGAGCACGCAAAACAGGACTGAAAAAGGACCCAGACATATCGGAATGGCCAGTATACTCGGACAGGGACACTAAGTAAGAGACCCATGCACCAATACACAAATAACAGCCAGTGAACTTGGCACAAATAAATCAGACCACAAATATAAAGAATGCAGCTTACATCTAAATTTGCTCAATCTCTGCACAACTTGTGTATCTGATGGTTTTTGTTTCCATGATATACGACTTATTCTTTTATAAATCCATATTTCCAGATATTCAGTTCGATTTTATAGTTGTTACTAGTCGGCGTTTGTGGCTTAGGCGTTGCGAACGCGCTTCGTAATGCCGGGGTGCCGTGTTCGATCCCAGCTGCAAGCCTTGCGCCTTGCATTAGTTTTGACAGTGGTATCGAGAAGCCGATCGTCCAGAAAGCAATGGCAAACTACTGGACGTAAATTTTGGTTAGAAAAACTTCAACAGCCCCCCCCCCCCCATTACTGGGGTTGGTTCTGCAAAGTCATGTAAAGAGGTACGCAACTAACTTTAAAAAAACTGTTTAGTACATCAAAAATAATAAAACTGCAATTTTTAACTAATGTAACATCGAGGTTACAAAGCATTATATACATGGCTGCAGCGTTGTTTCTGAGATTAAGCGCTGCAGTAACATCCATTCGATATCCCGGTATATTTTCCGCCTTAGCCGCTATGTAATTAGGACATCTTTAGTAGGCCGGTGTCAGCTTGCAGGACAGGGTTGTAAACAATGTGCAACTAACGTTATATATAATTTCATTTCACACAATATAGACACATTAATTTCTTCGTGTTAATTAAATAAAAAAGAATGTGTTGCTTAAAAGAAAAAAAATTATGCCAATCAATTCCAGATGTACACACTTGATTGCTATTTCCGACAAAGATGGATCGACCGGCGACTGGCGATGAATGTCTCTCTGGAAAATTTAACCCTAGGGATAAAAATTCTGGAGAGAATTTGGCACCCTGACACCGTGTTCTACAACGGTCAGAAAAGCTTCCTCCATTCGATCACCTCCCACAACAGGTTTCTTCGGATCGGCATCAACGGTTCGGTGCTGTTTTCTCAAAGGTTAGCATTTCTTCAATTATTGGTGTGCAAATAACATGCTATATATATATATATGTATATATATATATATATATATATATATATATATATATATATATATATATGTGTGTGTGTGTGTGTGTGTGTGTGTGTGTGTGTGTTTTGTCTTTTAATATATTTAAAATGCCAAACTACACGTGGTGTAGGCAGAAAGCGACGGGGGGGGGGGGGGGGTGTCTTTGAGCCTGAATTTGTACTGCCGCATGACTAGTGTTGTCGCCACGGATTGTACAGGTAAGAATGTTTTTTTGGACCCTGACAGACAAAAATCCCCAACATTACTCAATTAATGAAAGACTTATGACAGCACGATTCAATGGGAAACATGCCAAACTTACAGTCATCCAATGCTACGCACCGACTAATGAAGCTGAGGACGAAGATAAAGAAACATTCTCTAGGAGACTGCAAGAGGTAGTAGATAAAGTACCAGCCCATGATATTCTATGCATTATGGGACATCTCAATGCAAAAGTTAGTAACAACAACTTGAATTGAGAACTATCAATGGGAAATCAAGGATGTGGTACAATTAATGACAACGGATCAAGACTGAGCGACTTCTGCACGGCGAACAGACTTGTTATAAGAGGAACACTATTTTCTCATAATAATATACACAAGCTTTCATGGATATCCCCAAATAGAAGAGATGTAAACCAGATCGACCATTTCATGGTAAACAGAAAATGGCGTGGGTCTCTACTCGATGTGCGTGTCAAAAGGGGAGCAGACGTAGGAAGCGATCATCACCTTTTAGTTGCTCTACTACGACTCAAAAAATTTAACACGCAAGTTAAGACACAGACAGCACGCTACAATGTTAACCTTTTAAGAGAAAAAGATTTGCCTCTAAATTTATAGTAGATTTCAAGATTAAACTTCAAACCCTATCAAGTGACCCAGACACTTAAACTACAATAAGCATTCAAGACAGATGAAACCAGATCAAAGAAACATACAAATCAACAAGCAATAACATATTAGGAACCAGGAAACAACACCACAAAGAATGGATAAGTAGTCAAACCATGGACTATATTGCCAAGCGAAAAAGAATAAAGAGCCTCATAAATCACACTAAATCAGAACGTCAGAAAGACAAACTAATGTTAGAATATAGCGAACTAAATAAAATTACAAAGAAAAGTGCCAGAGCTGACAAGAGAAGATTTATGGAAAATCTAGCAGAAACAGCAGAAAATGCTGCTAAAGCACATGATCTACAATCCCTACACAAAATTACCCAGTAAATTTGCGGAAGCAGAAACAGTTATCACAGGTGGCGAATGGTGGAAAGACCTCTAGATATAGAGGTTAGCCACGAATATATTGAATAAGTGACCGTGGACCAAAACAGGTGATGGTCATTGAGAGGAGGCGAGTTAGTTGGGTGGGACAGCTAACTTTATAAAATACATCAAAACTCTACGACATGGCCATCGGCGGGTAAGAAGCGTCATAACCTCTACCCCCTGCTGCCTTGCAGGGTAAGTCTCTTTAGACAAAGGCTATTGGAGTCAAACCATATACAAACCGGCGGAAGGTAAGGGGAAACCACCGATATACTATCCCAAGAAAATCATGCCTCAAAATAATACGTATTCAGTTAACGACGTGAATGGGGATTCCGGTGGAATCACCTCCTCCGGTAGGGAGCATCATGTTCTACGGGTGATACCCGACCGTCATCCAGCTACCGTAGAAAAAGTAAATGGTAGAAACATCATGAACATTGGTACTTGGAATGTCAGAACACTCGTACAAAACGGAAAGCTGGATAACATCAAGAGAGAAATGAAAAGAATAAACATCAACATATTAGGAATTAGTGAAATGAGATGGCCAGGAGCAAGGAAAAAGTATTCAGATCAGCACATAATTATTTACTCGGGTGGGAAGGAATATAGTAAGGAAGTTGGTATTATTTTGGATCCAAAGAACTCAAAAACTGTTAAAGGATTTTGGACAATATCAGATAGAGTACTATTAGTAAAACTTCGCGGCAGACCGTTTGACATCAACTTAGTCCATATTTATGCCCCAACAGCAGATAGTTCAGAGGAAGATATTGAGACATTTTAATGACGAGTTAGACATGGCTGTTGATCAATGCAAAAAATGTGAAGTAACAATGATACTTGGAGATTTCAACGCTAAAGTAGGAAGTGAAAAAGTGTACGGAATAACAGGTGGCTATGGCCTAGGAGAAAAGAATGTGAGAGGTGACAGATTAATAGCATGGGCTGAGTCGCGCAGCATGATAATAGGTAACACCTGGTTTAAACACCATCCTCGAAGATTGTGGACTTGGAAAAGTCCTGGTGATAATGTCCGCAATCAGATTGATTATACTTTGATTTCAAGAAGATTCCAGAGCAGCTTAGTTGGAGCAAAAACTAGACCAGGGGCAGACTGCTTTAGTGACCATGTTCCAGTTGTAGGAAAAATTAGAATAAAACTAAAGAACATTAGAAAAACACCACAGAACATCAAGTTAAATTTAGGAATTCTTAGAGCGGATAAAGAAATTAGGGAACAGTACAATGTCACTGTACAAAACCGGTATAATGCAATGGAAATTATACAGACTATTGATGAACAGTGGGATATGTTGCGTGAGTCAATTCAGCAGACATCAAAAGATACAATCCCACCAACCCATAGAGTTGCGAAAAAGAAATGGATGTCAACCGAAATTCTGCAGTTGATGGATGAAAGAAGGAAGAAAAAGAATGATAAAGAAGAATAGAATACAAAAAGAAATAGTGAACAAATGCAAAGTGGCTAAAGAAGCCTGGCTTAATCAAATGTGTACAGAGATTGGGGAAACTCACAGGAAAGACTCACATTCCATTTATAATAGTGGGTATATTCCAAATGACCTTTTAAAATCCATATTTATAGCTCTGCCAAAGAAACCAGACACTTTAAAATGTGAAGACCATCGCACAATAAGTCTTATGAGTCAGATGACTAAGATTTTACTGTGAATAATTATGAGAAGAATAAGAAACAAAATTAAACTAGAAATCAGCGATGAACAATGTGGATTTGTAGAAGGAAAAGATATAAACAATGCCATTTACATCCTAAGGACATTGTCAGAAAGAGCTATAGAAGTAAAGACTGATTTGTACTTATGCTTCATAGACTATACAAAAGCATTTGACTGTGTGAAGCATGAAGAAGTAATCAAACTGTTAGAAAAATTAAACATTGATGGGAAAGATCTACGAATAATAAAGAAAATGTATTGGCAGCAAACAGCAGCTATAAGAATTAACAACTGTTTAGGTACATTTCAAAGCATAAAGAGGGGCGTACGACAAGGATGTGTACTTTCACCTGATTAGTTTTCAATATACAGTGAATATATAATGAGATCTTTAATTGATATGCCTGGAATTGTGGTTGGTGGGCACAATATAAATAATTTACGTTATGCTGATGACACAGTCTTGATAGCAACAAGTCAGAAAGAATTACAGGAAATGATAGACATTGTGGTGTTAGAAAGTGGAAGAATGGGCCTCAGTTTGAATAATGGGAAGACAGAAGTAATGGTGGTATCAAAGAAACAAATTATTCCTAAATTAGTAATAAAAGTCAATGATGTTATTTTAGGACAAGTACAGAAATGTAAGTATCTGGGCACATGGATAACATCAGATGGAGGATGCATAACTGAAATAAGAAACAGAATTGGACAGGCAAAAACTGCATTTTATAAAATGAAAAACATCTTGTGCAATATATCATTGTCATTGAGAGTTAGAAAAAGAATTCTTGCTTGCTACATACATCCAGTTTTAACATATGGATGTGAATCCTGGACAATCGGTAGGCAGGCCAAACAATTTTCAGAGGCCTCAGAGATGTGGTTTTACAGAAGAATGCTTAGAATACCTTGGACAGCCAAAAAGAGCAACCAAGAGGTTTTGAAAGAGGCGGAAGCCCGAAGACAACTTATCACAGACATCAGAAGGAGACAGTCATCATTTTTCGGCCATGTTATGAGAAGAGGGAAAATAGAACATGTTGTGACCACTGGAAAAATCTGTGGAAAAAGGGATAGAGGAAGACAACGAGAGAAGATGCTTGACATGCATGACATGGAGGTGTGTCGGCACACGAACTGATACATGCTGCAGGAGATCGCAGATTATGGAGAGGCATGATAGCCTACGCCAGTCGGCAAGGCACCTGATGATGATGATGACCCATCAGAGATAACCAAGGCAGACTGCTCACCACAGAACAAAAACAAGACATGCAGTGGACTAAACACTTCTCCGACCTCTTGAACAGACCTGATCCTGAAAATCCCCCAGATATTCAACCAGCCTCTCAGGACATTGAAATTATTACTGAACCACCAAGCAAACAAGAAATCCTTAAAGCTGTCCACTCTTTAAAGAACAACAAAGCACCAGGCAAAGACAAACTGCCAGCAGAACTTCTCAAAGTAGATCCCAACAAAACTGCTAGCATTCTAGAACCATTGTTTAAGGATATTTGGGAAAAAGAAGTGTTGCCTGATGACTGGACTGAAGGAACAATAGTCAAAAACCCCCCGCCCCCCCCCCCCCCCCCTCCCCCCCCCCCCCCCCCCCCCCCCCCCCCCCCCCCCCCCCCCCCCCCCCCCCCCCCCCCCCCCCCCCCCTCCCCCAAGGAGACTTAACAGACTGCAATAATTGGAGGGAAATTACTGTACTCTCAGTACGAAGCAAAATATTTTGTAAAATCCTCATGATGCGGCTTGAAAATGGAGTAGATAAATGCCTACGAGTGGAACAAACAGGATTTAGAAAGGGCAGAGGAACAACTGAGCACATCTTCGCCATACGTAACATTTTAGAACAATGCAATGAATGGCAGAGCAGTTTATATATTAATTTTGTTGACTTTAAGAAAGCTTTTGACAGCGTCCATAGAGACGGTCTATGGAAAATTTTACGACAATATGGAATTCCAGAAATATAGTCAACATAATTGCTCTCTTCTATAAAGACTTTTCCTGCAGTATAAAACATTGCAATACATCTTTCCCAGTAAAGACAGGTGTAAGACAGGGATGTGTTATGTCATCTCTCCTCTTCAACCTTGTGATTGATTGGGTACTAAAGAACACAGTAGACAGGACATTGAGAGGCATACGATTGACTCCATTCACCACGTTTGATTTTGCAGATGATATAGCACTCCTATCACACAAACATGAACATATACAAGAAAAAAGTTACAGACTGCACAGCACAGCAGAAATTTTAGGGCTGAGAATAAATACAAAGAAAACTAAGATCATGGCAAGCAGTCCAAACCAACAACCAGTGACCATAAATAACCAAACTCTTGAAAATGTAGAACATTTCACATATGTTGGCAGTGTGGTGTCCCTGCCGGGAGGGACTGAAGAGGGCATACAGTCACGTCTGAACAAAGCTAGAGCTGCTTTTGGAAGGATGAGGCAAATCTGGAAATCCAACAATTACTGCAGAGGAACGAAACTCCGACTCTACAAGAGCATCATTTTGCCAGTTCTTCTTTATGGAGCGGAATGCTGGAGAAGGACCAAAAGCATACACACAAACTGTCCACCTTCCACCACACATTTCTACGTAGAATTATCACAATTTTCTGGCCAGATACAATCTCAAACACTAAACTACTTCAAGCCACAAACCAAGAAACTTTAGACAGTATGACTACCAAAAGAAGATGGAAATGGCTTGTCCACGTCATGAGAATGAATTCTGGTATACCTGCTAAAACAGCTCTCACATGGACATCAGAGGGAAAGAGAAAACAGGGGCGCCCAAAAACAACATGGAGACGAATGATGGAAAATGACCTGAGTGCGGCATCTTTGACATGGAAAACTGCACTGAAGATTGCACAGGATAGGAAAGCATGGAAAGTCCTCTCTGAAGCCTCATGTGCCACTTGGCATAACGAGAAATGATGATTACTCAGGACTCGAACCCGGGTCTCCCTCATGAGAGCCCAGCGTGATCCATGGGCCGGCCATCGTCAGTTAATGCAGCACCTGCCAGTCTATTAGCTTTTTTATTGCCAACAACGCCTGCATACCCTGGGACAAATATGAAGGTTACTGCACACACAGGATAGGCTTCACTTGTGATAACCTCTTCTCGAGGCGGCCCCTACTGGTGGTGCCTTGAAGTGTATATTACATTCCGTTCAAGAAGTCCTCTTGAACTTTAACAATCTGTAACTCCGTAACCATTCTGTGTAAGTTGTTGACATTTGGCATTGAACCTGCTGTTGATACCCACACAATTATTAGATTTTAATGTAAACAAACATCTAGTTTTTATTTTGTTTTATTTGTGGTATATACAACAACAACAACAACAACAACAAAATCAAAACAATCAGTAGGCTTTCAGTAAACTGAGTAACGAGAAACTTTGAAAACATCAACCTAGTGTCGAGTCGCCGCTCGTGTGTCATTTACTGCGTGTTCTATTTTCTGTAGGCGTACAGAAGTTAGATGTTTAACAAGGATCACATAAATTCTTCGCTTTAATAAAATAACAGCACCTGTGCAGTTGAAAATTATAAAATCATGACGAAATGGGAAATCTGAGGCCACACGCAAAAACCTGAGTAGATCCGTACAGAGGTTTTCGAGATATTTTTTTCAAGTGTAAGGACACGATTTTTGAAATTTACCAAAATAGGTGCCCTTGCCTGTGTTTAGACACCAAGGCGTTTTCGAAATGGAAGACAGTCTTGCTTTTTTCAGTAAAATATTAGCAAGTCTCTAAAGAATCGTCTTTTTTTTTTCAAGTTGATGTAACAGTGAAACGATAAAACTCGAAGCGGTTACTTAATCTAGAGATTTCACCGTTTCTTTGTGTACATTTGATTCAAGATGAAATAGGGTTCAAAAACTTAAATTTACCGTTTCGTCTTTCCAGACAATAGTGTCATACTGTGTATTATACAGAAAGGCATATAAATCACAGCTAATTGAGGTCAGCAGTGAAATTTACCATCGGCGGAGACACCCCCCCCCCCCCAAAAAAAAAAAAACCTAGGCACTAATGTAGAGGCCAGGTGTTGCCCATTCAGCATGATAATTCGCTCGGCCTGCCTTGTTTACTCAAAGGAAAATTTAACACTAATACATTCGGAACGAAGCATGCCGCAGAAAATGCCAGATCAAAAGAGCAGTGTTCTGTTTGTCTAAAACCGGCTCCAGTTAGCAGGACCCGGTCTTGGTCAGTCGGCGGAGCTTCCTTCATAGAAAAACTGCGAATTAACGCTGTAGGTCTGGTTTGCCTGCCATAATCGTTTTCAGATTGCATTTCCTCATCCCAGCATAAGTAAAGTTAGTTTCCGCTTCTATGCACTTCTGCATTCCAAAGTCGCAGGCACAATGTGAAAGGATGGGTATAGTTACATCGTCCAACATTCTGTGATAACAGTGACAAAACTACCGACTATGGTCGAAAGAGGAGTCATATCAAAAACTCAAACATAGAAAACCAATTTAAAAAGTATATTTTCGCTCATCCGCACAAAGAAATAATATTCTTTATGTTTAAAGAGCAACCAGCACCACAGATCCACCCGGTCCACCCGGTTCCGGACAAAATGGACACTAGGCAAAGTCACTGTTTTAAGCCGTGGCACATTTTTTTTTTTTTGCTTTCGCCAGACGGTGGCCGTTGCATTTTTGCTTCATTTGTAGACGTGCTTGTCTCCCCAACCAGGTTGACTGTTCAAGCTACCTGCCGCATGAACCTGGAATACTTCCCCATGGACGTGCAGAATTGTCCGCTCTTGTTTGGCAGTTGTAAGTATTTTATAGGATTACAGCTTGAACCTATGTTGTATGTTGCACTTTTAAATCTTTCTTAAGAAAACAACGCACAATACGCTTATTTATCATTTATCTGCTAATAAACTTTTTGTATACGCATTATCAATGCTGGGGTTGGAAAATACTATGGACAGAAGAAAAGAGTAATGAAGATGTCTTGAAAGAAACTGACCCACGAAGAGAACTGCTTGCCCACACCAGAAAGAGACAATCGACATTCTTTAGTCATGTCATAAGAAGGAAATAACAAGAGTATATCATGACAGCAGGAATGTTGGAAAGGGGAGGCGGGTGGAGAGGGAGACCGAGAGAAAACATGCTGGACAGTTTTATATCATGGCATGGAGGATCATTTGTGTCAAAGTTGACTGAAAGTACATGAGACAGAAGGTTGTGGATAGACTTGACTACCAACGCCACACGGCATGGACTTTGGTAAGAGGAAGCGCTATCCTACAACGTCCTGTAAAGCTAACTATTTTCGGCACCTGTGGTTGCACTACTAAAACTAAAAACATGGTGCTCTCAAGAGAATAAAAGAATCGCGAGATCATGATGGGACAACATGCATGGGCACAGGTCAACGAGTTCAAATACCTTGGAGTTGTAAAAGGCTGGAATGGAGGCAATAAGACAGAACTGGCTACTCGAAAAGCAAAAAGTGTGAGACTTTACCAGGCCATAAACCGAGGGTTTCTCAGCAAAAGAGAAACTGGCAAGAGTACGAAAATGGCTGCTTACCGCTCTATTTATGCGCCAGTTCTGACCTACAAGTGGAGTCATGGGCAATGACAACAGCTGACAGAAGCCAGCTTAAGGTCTCAGAGATTTTATTATTTTTTTAAAGAAAGGTGGTCCAAGTGACAAGAAACAAAGTTCGCAACCAGAAAATACTTCATAATCTTAAAACCCAGGTCTTACGACCTCGAGTTGAACAGTCACAGTTACAATGTTTTGGACATGTATGCAGAATGGGAGAAAACCGGCCACCACGAGAGGCATGGGAGGCCAAGAACCAGGAAACCACACCACCAGATTGACCCAGGGTTCGCTGGGAAGACAACATCCGACACTCCATGACTGAAAGAAGACTAAAATGGAACAATACCAAAAAGAACACTGCTGTTAAAGAAGTCTAGCGATCCATCTGGCTAATCTCTACATCCAGGGTAGAAGAGGAGCTACTAAGTAAGTAATAAAGTAAGTATGTGATCTTGGCGCTGCGAAATTGCTTCGTAATTCCGAGATGCCAGATTCGATCCTAGCTGTGGTTGATTTGGCAGCAGACCGCCTTGCGTTTGTTTCGACAGTGGTATCAAGACTCGATGATACAGAGGCCATGGTAAACTACTAAACGTACGATTGTCTAGTTAAACCATAAACACCAGAAAATGCTGGGGATGGTGCTGCAACATACTGTAAAGGATATGCAGCTAACTTGTTTTTGATACAAATTATTAGTTTCACAGGCAGCCGCCGTGGTGTAGCGGATAGGTGCTCGCTTGCAGATCAAAAGGTAGATGGTTCAAACCCGAAGGAGCAGGAGTTTTTTTTTTTCTCTCTCTAAAAATGACCTTGGCTCCCAGGTCGATCCAAATTTAAATGGATACCAGCTAAAGTTCTTGGATCTAGTGCCCATTGATCTCTACAATTTAGGTTTAGTTCTATAGGCACATTACGCCTGAAGGTGTGAACAAGGGTCATTTGTTAGTTTAACAACTAGGAGATCGTTAACCATTATCCTGAAGCAGGTCCATTGTAGAACGTCCCTCTCATTACAGATCGCCTGAAAGACACACGGTCTCTCACCTTACTGCCCAAAGTGTCACTTATATCTTGTTCCCACGTTCTTGCTCGTCGCCTCCTGTCCCTCTTTCCTGGTACCCTGCATTCTGCTAGTATTCTTAACAATCGGCTGTGGAGCATGATATGGCCAATATATTTCAGTTTCAGAGACAAGATGCTGTTTACTAATCATTCTTCCTTGATGATCAGATCTTTTAAGATGTCGACTCACATACCTATATGTTACTACGGAGAAGATGCATGCTCTCAAAATTTTGACTTTGATTTCCCTTTTGGTGCTTAACCATAGACTTCTAACTGCATTGCTATGGCCTTCCTCCTTTTCACTTCTGTTAAACAAGCTTCAATGCTGTTTATTTTAGAACCGTGATATTCAAAGTTAGACATAAATCAACCCCACCACATGTTGTCTATCTGTGATTTTATTAGGCAGTTTTACATTCAGTAGTTTGCAGTGGCTTCATAAACGGTTCGACGCTTATATCATTGTCAAATAAACTAAAAGCGGCCTTCTGTCAAATCGTCTGCAGCTGACTTAGAAATCTGGCCAGACGCGCGCACATAGATAAAAAAAAGTTTCTTGGCTACAATGGGAGTGGTGGGCGCCTGAGCCCTTTTAAAGTCCCCTCAAATTATAGGACCCTTCACTCCTCAAATTACGGAACCCTTCACCTCTCAAATTATGGAAGCCTTCACCTCTCAAATTACGGAACCCTTCACCCCTTAAATTATGGAATCCTCCACACCTCAAATTATATAACCCTTCACCCATCAAATTATATAAACCTTCACCCCTCAAATGATATAACCCCCACACCTCAAATTATATAACCCTTCACCCATCAAATTATATAAACCTTCACCCCTCAAATTATATAACCCTTAACCCATCAAAGTATGGGACCATCCACCCATCAAATTAATACACTCTTAACAACACCCTACTTAAAAAGGTTGTAAGGGTTTTACTATTTTATCCATGTGTAGAAATTGTCTCTAAATATATTTGTTAATGTACTTCATATTATTTCAAGTGTATTATCACATGTATACTGTTTTAAAAAAAAATAAAAAAATAACAAAAAGAAACGCATAGTTACTGAAAGAAACAAACATGCAGTAAGTAATGCAGTAAGTGAAATTACTCAAATTTCACACAATCAATTGACACTATTTTTTGCAACTGAGTCACGATAGTTTTTAAGCGTAGGCCTTTCCCGTTAGTATGGAGTGTGGCCTCCTCTTGTGTGGATCAGTGACTGGCATCTCTTGGGCATGGATGCGATCAGATGTCTGATGTGGGCCTGTGGGATGGCTGCCCACTCTTCCTGAAGTGCCTGGAACAGATCACGAACATTGGCTGGAGCAACGTTTGGGCGACTAACAAGTCTGTCAGTGGCTCAATCGGACTCATTTCTGCCGACAGGGATGGCCAGGGAAGGGTTTGACTGTTGTTGGCAGCCAGGAACTGCGCGGTCAACTGTCCAGAATGGGGTCTGGCGTCGTCCTATTGAAAAAGATATCTGTTGGCATCCCAAAATGGAAGGGCATGTGGTCGAAGAATTTCATGGACGTATCGTTACGCATTCAAGCTTCCTTCAATGTGCACCAGATGACTCTTTCCGTTGTAACTGATCATTCCCTATACCATTACACCTCCAACACCGTGCAGCAGAGCTTCATCAACACAGTTTTGGGCTATAACTTCATTTTGTCTAAGGTAGACCATACGCCGTCTATCATGACGCTGCAACAAAAAGAAAGATTCGTCACTAAACCAGACACGTCTTCATTGATTGTCACCTACCCGGGAACGATGCTGGTTGGCCCAAAGAAGTAGATTGTGGCGGTGGCAACGCGTAAGAACAGGCCTGCAATCAGCCAATAGCAATATTCCTAAAATTTATCGATAAAGGCGCCATTCGTGACTGCTTGAAAATGAATTGATCGTTTTTGTGTAGCGTTATCTTTTGATATGGTTTTAATTGCGTGGGCAGTAAATAGGGTTCACGGCAAAGTATGTTGCTTTCTCGTGCGCACATCGTGAGCTACGCTCACAAATATGGTCTTAAACACATTTGACCACTGCGTTGCAACGATTACAAAAACACACGCAATTCACGCCCACATGGCCATTGGACACTGTAAACAACATTTGAGTCTGCTTTTCCCATACCCGAGTAGGGTATTATACTTACAGACTAATAAAAACGCGCTATCGGAAAATTATGCGATCCTTTTTTTAACAGTATATTTGCCATTCAGCACATTATTACTGTTATTATTTTTATTATTATTAATATTATTATTAATGTGCTAAATAGCAAATAAATATAATAGTCAACTGAAATAATGTGAAATGCAAGAACAGTTACCTCTAAAGCGAATTTCTATACATTGTTAAAAGGGACTACCTATTCCAATAGCAATTTTTTTGGAAAAAGGGGGGGGGGGGGAGGGGATTTAATGGGCCTTAACCCCGATTTCTGCGCCACTGACTTTAGTATGTATAAATCTGCGTTCACAATAACGCTATTACTTCCCGTCCTTTTTAGGACTAAATTTTTCGTTATTTGAAGCCCTAGTCTGGCTCTTGCCAGAGGCCGCAATATAGCCTGACCATAAATATGGCCTAAAGGCTTAAGGCGGTTTCTGGGAACTCTCCACGGTGATCCTCACCCACATGGTGGCACATTGTGTCATCGGGTGTTTGTCGCTTGTTTGATGACCTTTTGGGGTAGAAAGTCAGTCAGCTAACCCCCAGCCCACGGAAAACGATAATCAATCACAAACGTAATGTTTCTTTGGTAACATGTCCCGTCGCCTTATTAGCCCCTCCCTCCCTTCCCCTCCCCCCTTTCCTTTTTCGGACGACCCGATCAGGGGATTATACTTTCGCCAGAACGAATATAGAGATTAGGTACTTTCTCCAATTTCCCCTTGATGCCTCAGCTGGGAAGCTGTCCCAGGTATTGGCTCCCTTTCTTCTCTTTACACTAATGACTTTCTCGGTTTGTCGATTTCTGGTCACTTTTCATTTCTAGTGATTGAATGTATCGGCAGTGACAAGCTAGCCACCATTGGCGTTTTGTTGTCTGGCCGGTCAACAGACTTACAGGCGGATGTGTGGACAGTCAGAGGGACTGACGGAAGAATGAATTACCATTTAGAATAATGGATAGGTTGGGGTTGGGGTGGGGGGGGGGGGGAATGTGCCTTTATGAATGGTTGGATGCAGGCATGGGTGGATATATGGTCAGGCAAGCAATGAAACAAGCAGGCAGACAGATAGACGGACATACATAGATAAAGTAAAGTAAAAGTAACGACTATTTTCCACGCCTCTAGGCGCGTTGGATATTTAGGACTAGACCTATATTTTATAGACCAAAGGGTACTTGGTCAGTGATGTGGTCAGCATCACGACAGCCGTCTTTACTTCCCAAGACTGGGTACCCACTTCAGGCTGGGTCGACCTTAAAGCCAAAGTCATTTTTGAAAGAAGTCAGGCCCCTGCCAGGACCCGAACTAACGACCTTCAGATCCGCAGGTGAGCGTCTAGCCGCTAGACCACGGTGGCTCCCACATACAGATAGTTAGATAGATAAATAGATAGATAAATAGACGCCTACAAAACTGATTACCCCACGTTACTTTTCCCCTACAGTTGCCTACACAACTGATGACGTCACATACACATGGCGCTACGGACACAGCGGCTCCATTGAGCTGGCGCCAGATCTTCGCCTGTCCCAGTTTGACCTTATAGGATTTCCAGTGACAAACTACACTGGGCACTTGAAAGGGGGTGAGCCGGCTGTTGCTCTTCCGCTCTATTTTTCCTTATTTCATGAACTGTAGGGTTGGCAGATCATGAACCTCTTTGAACAACAGTAAGAATGCAATAGTACATACATGTAGCAAAATCGCCTGACGACATTGTAGGGCTCGGTCGGCCTGTCGACACTGTAGGGCTCGGTCGGCCTGTCGACACTGTAGGGCTCGGTCGAGAGGAGGAGAAGAAGATGCTGACAAGACAGATCTGGGCACAGAATTTACCTGTATGAAAAAAACCTCAAATGTGAAAACTAAAACCGCATCGAGGCATAATTACCTTTTCTTCTTCTTCTTCTTCTTCTTCTTCTTCTTCTTCTTCTTCTTCTTTTTCTTCTTCTTCTTCTTCTTCTTCTTCTTCTTCTTTTTCTTCTTCTTCTTCTTCTTCTTCTTCTTCTTCTTCTTCTTCTTCTTCTTCTTCTTCTTCTTCTTCTTCTTCTTCTTCTTCTTCTTCTTCTTCTTCGTTTTCTTCTTCTTCTTCTTTTCCGCGTTGACCCGCTGTAAACTCCAGCGGAAAGTTCTTGTTGGTTCCTTGCTTCTCAGACAGATGCACTCAGACTTTGAAAGAAGCTCCTAATTAGTTGACTTTTGAGACACGGGTAGACAGTGGTATATTCTTAGTTTCCCCACAATGAGGACCCGGAACCCACACGGAAAATGTGTGATTCAAAATGGATCCCTGGTCGACCCTGCATAAAACCATTGCCAGGTAATGCCGTCAGATATAGAGGCGGCCGGCATAAGGTTGACCACATCACCCAGCGAGTGCCAGTTTGTCTATAAAGTATGAGTCTAGCTTCTGATATGTCACTGGTGCAAGAAAAGGGTCTTTTTTTCTTACTTAATTAACAAACAAACTGTCGATTACAATCAAAGGTGCTTTATCAATATCCTGCCCCAAACAGGGGATATCCACAGGTCACAGGACAGTCTAATATTTCACGGGGGTGGTAGATCGGCTGCATGTAGTCGTGGCACCTAGGCTGCACTCTCGTGTGGGACGTAGGTGGATTGAGGTTAGGGCCAGTGTTAGATGTTTTGGGGTCTTTAAAAGCATCAGAAAGCCAGAAAACCGAGTCCTAATGTTGAACTGGCCTGTGACGTCATCTGGGTGGCAGGAAATTAATAAAGCACCCAATCCCATTATAGGCAGCAATATATATTAATATATAAAATTATGGGATTCGATCCAGTGCTCTGGCATACAATAAACGAATACATGGCAAAGAAAAACATAGAACAAGAATAACAAAGGCTGGCACACAACGTCATGTTTATTCAGGAAGATGTTTCAGCTCAAACAAACAATTCGTGCAGATTTTGCCCTCGTGCATGTTGACGTCGACTCCCTTTGAAGACGGCTTTGTTTGCAAGGAAATATCCATTGGGGAGAAACTATTGAGGGGCTCTGGAATTGTTGGCACCGTTATGTCCATCAGGCGATATTGTTATATTCTGCTATGGGATTGTGGGGGAAAGAGGGGGGGGGAAGGGGGGGGGGAGTCGGAATCACAAACCATGGCGATGGCGAGCGCGACTTATAAGACCATCACAATATTTTTTAATCCAGAAACCATATGAGTCGTAAACCCTTTGGCTTGGTACTATGGATATCGCAACCCTGCCTTGCTTCCATGATAGATACCCTAAATCTGGGAAATATGCGGCTTTTCTGCCTATGCCCCGAGCGTGAGCTCGGACCACAAGGAGTTTGTTACCCAGTTACCGCGAAGCTGGTTTATACCACTTAGCTAGTGCGCCTGGCACCGTCTCAAGTTAAGAAGTCTTCCACAACTAGGGCACGGGATTCCAAGACTATTGCTGCCACCGCATGTATTTAATGAGTTTCTTCTCCGTCGCCCAGTTGCTATGGCTGTAAAGCCATTCTTAAATCAGTAATTAGGTTCTAGAAATTGTCATGCATCAGCCATGGGGGTGGCGGGAAAAAAACACAGGGGGGGGGGGGGGGAAGGGGGTGGTTACACGGAGACACAATGTGATATGTGCTGTGTAATGTGTGTTTTAAATCTCTGTTCGCTGTATATGCTGTCTTACCTCCCATGTGTCTGTCTGTCCACCTGACCGTTCGTCTGTGTGTAAATGCAACTCACTTGCCCAACACACCCATATGTCTGTCTATTTGCCTATCCGCCTATCCATCGTATCATACACATCTCTCGGCCTATCCATCTAAACGTTCTTCAGTATTCTATCCAGCCGCATGTCTGTATGACCGGTTATGTAATCCCTCTGTCTTGACGCATGTCTGTCTATTTATCTATTCAATCTGTATCTGTCTATCCTTCTGTGGAGACTCACGACTAATCTACCGGGTTAAGGAGCCGCCGTGGTGTAGTGGCTAAACGATCGCCAGCGAATCGGGGGGTTGTAGGTTCGGGTCAGGACGAAGCACACCTTTTTTTTTAAAGGACCTTAGCTCCCAGGAAGACCCAGGCTTGAATGGGTACCAGATGCAGTCCTGTGAAGTAAAGGCGGCCGGCGTGATGTTGACCACATCACCCACCAAGTTCCCATTAGTCTATAAAATATAGGTCTAGCCCTATATGCCCAGTACGCCTAAAGGTGTGGAAAGTGTCCCTTACTATACCTGTACTACCTGCTTAATTATCTGTGCAATGTATTTACCTGTATATCTATGCAAGATGTCTGCCTATCGTTCTTATTCCTCTAGCGCCACACACTGTGCTCTGTGTTACCTTCAAGCTGAGCCGACATACCGGATACTTCCTAATAAACCTCTACCTCCCGTGTTGCCTTCTGGTGGTTCTGTCTTGGGTGTCCTTTTGGATCAACAGGGAGGCCACAGCAGACAGGATAGCACTTGGTGAGTCTGGCTCGCCTGTGTTCATGTGATCTGGTCACCTTGATGTGTCAGCTAATCTTTATATCAGCGGTTCTCAACTTGTGGGTGGCCACCCCTTTGTGGGTCAAACAACCCTTTCACAGGGGTCGCCTAAGACCATAGGAAAACACATATTTATTGAAGTTATAAAATGTCGACTCTGTGGCTAAGTCGACGCTTCGTAATGCCGGGTTTGCGTTGGTTTCGACGGTGGTATCAAGAAAGCCGACCGTCCAGGTTCAATGGCAAACTACCGAACGTAAATTTGCCTAGAAAAACCACATAACAGCCAGGGGTTGTTGGGGTTGGTTCTGCAACGTCCTGTAAAGGATACGCAACCAACTAACCTTATAAAAGCATCGCATTTTTTTTATTATTTAATGGTTTTGGGTCGCCACAACATGAAGAACTAAAAACGGGTTTTGGCAGAAAGAAGGTAGAGAACCACTGCTTTAAAGCATATTATCAAAATAATGCCTATGCATCCTCCTGTTCCGCATTTCCTCCTCTTCCTTCTTCCTCTTTCTTCTTCTTTTTTTTTTTCTTCTTTTTCTTGGTCTCTAAATCCCCCCCCCCCCCCCCCCTTTCTTCTTCTTTCTTCTTTGTCTTCTTACTCTCCACCTCTCTGCTTATTCTCCTTTTTGCGTTGCTAGGGTCTATTTTTTTTTTAAATCTTAATGGAACCTCAGCCACCAGTTCCTTTGTAAACATATTTATGATTGGGCGGATTTTATGGTGACCTGTTCTACGCTAATGAGATGACACGTCTGCTTAATAGTCCATTTCGACGTCCATTACAGGCCATTGTGTTTATATTATTTGTTTCCCACTAAGGACCTAGTAAGATGCGAGCAAGGATAGGGGTTGGTTTACAAGGACATACCTAACATCCCTGCAAGATGCATTGTCAGCCACGTCGATGAAACTCAATAGGAATAATCTATTATTCCATCAGAAACTCCATCTCTAGAAACATATAAGTTATAGACAACAAAATTTACATTGGCCATGAAGTGGTTTGAAAACCTCTTTCATCCGTGTTGCACACTTATGAACAAAACATCAGTTAGATACATTCAAACCGGTTTCAATGTCCCTTGTTTCAAAACAAACACCCACTAAAAGGAGCAAATATCACAGCTCTGCCGTGAACAAGCTCAGTACGTCCAGAACAAAATTATACGGAACGAACGAAAGTCTTTTGAAAAAATCCCCAGCAAGTGAATGTCCATTTAGATTTTGTTTTTAAAGGCCTATGCAAATTGTGACGCCCACAGATTCACAAATTCAGAACTGCTGAAAAATATACATTCAATAAAAAATATAAATTTATATATTTATCGGGGCTGTACCGAATAGTGATTTTCACTATTTTGCCGAACACGAATAGCGGGACCAATTATTTAGCCGAATACGAATAGTGTGTCATCATCAGGTGCCTTGCCGACTATCATGGGCAATTATGCCTCGCCACAATCTGCGATCTCCTGCAGCATGTATTAATTCGTGTGCTGACACACCTCCATGCCATGCAACAAGACTGTCTGGAATATTCTCTCGTTGTCTTCCTCTATCCCTCCCTCCCCAGATCTTTCCAGTGGTCACCACTTGTTCCATTTTCCCTCTTCTCATAAGATGGCCGAAAAATGAAAACTGTCTCCTTCTGATGTCTGTGTTAGTTGTCTTAGGGCTCCCGCCTCTTTCAAAATCTCTTAGTTGCTTTTTTTTTTTTTGGGGGGGGGGGGGGGGGGGGGGGGGGGGGGGGGCTGCCCAAGGTATTTTAAGCATTGTTCTGAGGCTTTAAGAAATTGTTTGGCCTGCCTACCGATTGTCCAGTACTCACAACGCATTGCCTTTAAATATTAGTGCTTACTTGACGAGGCTAACAGTTACTATTGTACAGACCACATTTTCCACTTTAAAATTTCAGCCAAAATGTAATCACAACCTTGCTTATTCGCAGTACCTTCAGGAATACAGATGGAGGATCGGTCGCACCTCGAGATAAATACAAAGACAATTTTTAGCACGCTGCGGTTGGCATTTTATGCAGTATGAAACACTTTGAGTGTGAAATAAGGAAAAAAAAAAAAAAAAAACTCTTTTTGACAGTGGCGAGGAAAGACAATTTAAATTTTAACTTTTAGGTATCTTCATTCCTTCTTTAATAATGTCACAATGTATAGCCGACTTTTCTTGATTTTCGCCGCGGCTCCCCTGGCATACGCACCCAGTCTGAGAACCTCTGCTGTAATGCCTCGGTTGAGTCAGCAGGCAAAGACCTTGTCAACTGCTGTACCATGCAACCGGGTCTCAGTTTTCCCCACTACGACAGACTTAGGCAACAGCAACTATTGTGATAATGAGAGAATTATTTCAGTCCATCGCAGTGTATGCAGAAACGGGTGTAAGGTAGCCACTATTCGTATTCGGCCCCACCACAAGTATTTGGCCGAATACCAAATAGTTATTAGGTCCACTATTCGGCCCCGAAGCGAATACGAAGCGAATATTCGGTACAGCCCTAATATTTATATATTTATATATTTATTTACTGACACATTCATTACTTTATAATCTGATAGGACCGTTGTTAATTTAAACAGACGAATAGAATAATACCGTCTATTGAATCATCATCATAATGTAGCAGTCCTTTGCAGAACGTCTCTCTCATCAAGGTCTGCTTGAAAGATACTCGGGCTCTTGCCAGCTCTTCCGCCCCGTGTACTTTCATATTCAAGGAGTCACTTATATCCTGTGTCCATCTTCGTGTTTGTCGGCACCTGCACCTCCTTCCTGGTACCATGCCTTTTGCTATACATTTTTCGAATCTGCCATGGCGCTTGATTTGACTAAAATATTTCAGCTTCCGGGACAAAATGCTGTTTATTAGCCAATCTTCCATAATGTTCAGATCTTTTAAAATGTCAGTATTTCTTCTCTTCTTTGTCCATGCTATTCTGAGAATCTTTCTATAGGATTTCAGCTCAAAAGCTCCCATTTTCTTTCCTAAAGACTGAATACCTCTAAAAAATACCTGGTGTGTCAAACAGGCTCCACCACTGTGCTGACCATGACCATCATTGGGATAGAGAACAAGAGCCAGCTGCCCAAGGTCTCCTACGTCACGGCCATGGATGTCTATGTGGCCCTCTGTTATGTCTTTGTCATCGCCACAACCATTGAGTTTGCCGCGGTGCATTATTTTACTAAGTACGGTACTGGAGAGCCACGCCTGGTGCCCAATGATGACGACAGTTCGCTCGATGAGGTAATTTAAACCTATATCTTCTGGGAGATAGAGTCCTTAGACGTTGAATCTGGGATCTCAAGCACTTTAAGGCTCTCAGCCCCCCCCCCCTTTTCCTACCAACAAAAACTGTTTAAGGGGATAAAATGACTCCCCCTCCCTAACCCGCAGTTTTAGCTGCATGACCCCCCCCCCCCACCCCACCCCCGTCCATAAAAAAATGGGGATGAAATTACTCCGCCCAATTTTATCGGGAAAGGGGGGGGGGGGGGGGAAGGCGGGTCGGTGTGGCAGCCACCACTACTCCTCTCCATAGAAAATTTACAAAGGGGATGAGCGAACACCCCCCCCCCCCCCCCCGCCCCCAATTTCCCCCCATTCCATAAGGCATAGTATTTTTCTTTTTAGTATTTGTTCATTAATTTATTTAATATTACAATATCCATGTGTAGGTTCAGATGCGCAGAAGGGGGTGGGGTAAGGCCCACTGTCTTCTAATACGTGTGTCGTAAAAGGGGTATTTACTTCGAAGTCAGAGTGATTTGGCCTGGGAGTCAAGGAACCAACAGTCTGCATACAAAAAAAGCTACATTTGTAAAACCGGTGTGCATGCAAAAGTGAAGTTCTGGAACAAGACCGAATTCAAGAAGTTGACGAACAGTCAGAACTTGCCATCAAAGTTTACACCCGGTGAAGGCGAAAAAGAAGAAGAGAAACAGAAGAAGAATTAGAAGAAGAAGAAGAAAAAGAAGAAGAAGAAGAAGAAGAAATTTCAAATATAATTATTTATATTCCAATCGGTACATTCTGATAATAATAATAATAATAATAATATTAATTATTATTATTATGCCCATTTAAACAAGACTTGTGGTGGCACTCCTTACCGTATGTTACAGAATGACTTCATCACCGAGTACCAGATGCAGCAGAGCAGTCGTTTCTGTCTGTCAACACTGATCTCGGTCCTTGGTATTTGGAACTAGTTGCTCTGATGATATTCCACCATGCCTTTGCTTCAGGCCGTCAAGCCTCTTCTCTATTGGTCTGCCTCTTCTAGCGCAGATCTTCCACGTCAGTTGGCGACCCCTGCAACATACTACAGTGGGAACAGGCCGCGGCATGAATGGAAGTTGGCGCGAAATCTCGCAATAAAACAATTCACACAAAATGACCGCAGTCAATACTATCTATCGAATTATGAACCATTAACAATTACTCACCATGGCACAAGTAGAAGATGGCATGTAAAGTGGTGACGTCGAAGCAGTTATTTGTTATTCTACACATGCACGTGGGATTTACAAAACAAAAATTAACAATTCTTGGTATTTTTCCCTTTTTTTTATCCACAGATTTCCGAAGACAACTTGAGCCTGGATTCCCCTGCCTTGAGAAACGGAAAGTTTAAAGTTCAGGCGTACCCTTGGCCTCCAAACGTAGCTAATGTCAAGGTTGGGATCATGGCCAAGTTGTGTCACTGTCTCACCAGGTCGGAGATTGAGAACTACCAGTTGTTGTCTGTGACATCTGTTAGTGTTTACATCCGGCTACGGTGTTTAATCTTATTATCTTTTAAAGATAAGAGTGCTAGAAACAGAACCTTATATCTCCCTCGACACCCACAGCGGTAAAAGAGGAAGTGAAGAAGAAGAAGAAAGATGAGAGTACCGTGGTGGGGAAAAAAAAAGTGGGGGGGGGGGGGGGGGGGGGATTGGATAACTGGGAAGATATCGCAGGGTACCGGAACTTGAAGGTTCAGTCACGATGAGAGGGAGTGCGGGGTAATGAGAAGGCTGATAGATTAGCTGCTGCCGCTCCCCTTGTGAGTGATCTACTTTTTTGAAAAAGTGGACGTGATGAGCACTCCACTCGGGGATCAGATAACTGTGCAAAAAAAAAACATGGACGGACTGATTCGGTGATGACGTGGAGGGAGCAGAGTTTGTACAACATTCTAAAAAAGGCAGAGGTAAACGGGCATATTTTTTAATCAGATTGCACATGGCACCGTCGGTGCAGTGGTGTCAATTCTTAATTTATTTAGGCAAGCCAAGCTGCGCGCTCTCTCTCTCTCTCTCTCTCTCTCTCTCTCTCTCTCTCTCTCTCTCTCTCTCTCTCTCTCTCACTTTCTACGACTTTAGCGTGTTTAGACTTCATAGACAGGGTTCACTCACACATAATTCTTTACCTATACATCTGTTTGAATCTCACTTTTACTCAACATCCTATAACATTTCGTGCCGCTGACGTCATCAGTTGCTGACGATTGTCTGATCTGTTCCCGCCACCACTGTCGGCCAGACGCCATGGACGATACCTGCATGTCTGAGGCCTGTCGATTCGGCCAAATCCAGGCATTTTTAGTCTACCTTTTTTTCCTCTTCCACTGAGCCATCTACTGTGAAGCTGACAGATTTCGTTACATATCTGTACCACTGCATTTTTCTCCATCTCTACACAGTTGTTAAAAGAGGCTTACAGTTGCTAACTTGTTGAGTATTGATATGACGACCTTCCTTTGTGATACTGTCTCTGTGCGAGATAACAAAGTTCTTTTGAAAGTATTTCATTCTTATATTGTCTACTGAAATCAAATGTTAAGGTCCACGTTTCACAGCCACATGTAAATAGGATGACCCCGCGTCCCGTTTTTATCGGGACGGTCCCCTTTTTAAGATGTGCACCGGCCGTTCCGCCGGCAAGCTAAAATAACTACACCTGTACTGCTTTTATATAAATCTAAGGCACTGCGCGCTAGCCAAGTTGATTAAACCATCTGTGCGGCGACCGGGTGCCAAACACCTTGTGGTCTGAGTTCACGCTCGGAGATATCCAAAAAAGCCTAAATTTTTCCAGATTTACGGTATGTACTAAGGAATCAATGCCGAAGGGTTGCGATATCCATAGTACCGAGTCAAAGGGTGTACAACTCATTGTTTATGAATGAAAAAAAAAAAAATGCAAATTTAAAAATAAGGATAGAACACACTTTTAGTTTTATCTGGAGACCTTATTACATTTCAGAATTTTCGATATTTTTAATGCCTGAAATGTGCTTTGATTTGTTGGCAGTAATTAACCCTTTCACCCGTGTGACCAAGACACACACATACACACAATGGGGGAAGAAAAAGGGGGGGGGGGGGGGGATCTGACTTGCTTGGGATGTCCTGTTTTCAGCTCAAGACACTGTGGTCACGCTATATCTAAAGATACTCACGGGTAGTCGGCTCTGTGGCTAAGTCGATGCGAACACTTCGCTTCGTAATGCCGGGATGCCGGGTTCGATTCCAGCTGCGGGCAATGCGCCTTGCGTTGGTTTCGACAGTGGTATCAAGAAAGCCGACCGTCCAGAAAGCAATGGCAAACTACTGGACGTAAATTTGCCTAGAGAAACCACACAACAGCCAGGGGCTGTTAGGGTTGGTTCTGCAACGTCCTGTAAAGGATACGCAACAACCTTTACTCACGGGTAATGCTTTAAGCAGCCACTCATTTTTTAATTTTATTTTACATGAATTTTTTTTTTTTTTTTTAATTAAACGTTTTACGTTTAATTTTAGAAGTTGTAGTTTCCTCTCGTTCACAGGACAAAGAGGAAAAGAAGCGGATACAAAGGGAAACTAACTGCGTTCAGCAACAGCGTCAGCCAGGTTGATCGAGCAGCCAGGGTGTTATTTCCCCTGACCTTCACTATGCTGAATGTGGTCTACTGTATAGCCTACTACTTGTGGGCGTTCTCAGGGGACTGACCAGTCAGACAGATTGTGTTTGATAAGACTGTCCATTAAGACAGACTTTGTTGATATGACTGAGCCATCAGACTGACTTTTTTTTCTATAAGACTGGCTAGAAAGATATTGGTTAATATGATTGGTTGATATGACTGACCAGTTACAGTTAGACAGACTTTAAGACAATTGACCAGTTAGACAGACTTTGCTGATGCAGTTGACCAATCGGACAGACAGTGGTTAATACGATTGACCAGTTAGACAGACTTTGATACAATTGACCAGTAAAACATACTTTGTTGACACAATTGACCAGTTAGACAGACTTAGTTAACATAAATGACCAGTTAGATGGACTATGTTGATTCAATTGACCAGTCAAACAGAGATTGGTTGATACTACTGACCAGTCAGACAAAACTTTGTTTGCTGACTGGTTAGACAGACACTAATGGATATTACTGACAGTTAGAAATACTTTGTTGATACAAATGCCCACTTAGACAAACTATGATGACATAACCAACCATTTAGACAGATTATGTTGACACAACTGATGAGTAAGACTGACTATGTTGATACAATTGATCCCTTACACACATAATGTTTAATACAACTGACCAGACGGACTTCTATATAACCAACCAGTTTGACAGAATATGCAGATATTATTGACCAATTAGACAGACTTTGTTTGACATGACTGACCATTAGACAGACTTTGGTTAATATTACTGACCAGTTAGACACACTCTGTTCAATTAAATTTACCAGTTAGACTATCTGATGCGACTAACAGGCCAGACAGACATAATTCTTCCAGAAGCATGTTTTATTATCAAGTCAGTTATTGTATGCCAACATAAATACATATGCAAATGTATGTGCACATGCATGAACAAACATACATATTACACAGATCTTTACACAAAGTACACACTTCTTCACATACAGAAATGACAAATCCTTACAAATACACACAAATGATACATATGTGTTCACAAACTTCAAATGCATAAACACATAAATGACACCACATGTATACATACACATAATACATGTCTACATATGCAAGGCAGGTGTACAATGATACATATGTGTACACAAACAAACTGCAAATGCGTAAACACAAGACGTGTACACATACACAAAATACATGTGTACATATGCAAGGCAGGTGTACAAATAAAAACAATGTATGTAATGCTATGCTATGTTACATTATCACAATCAACATCACTGCATATTGTGCATTCCCAAGCATGCTCAGTTCCCCGATGCAGCAGCCACCACAAAGTAACTCTACTGATTGCTACCATGGGAAGTTGGTTATAATGTCTCCTATCTTGACCTCGAAGACAGCACTACAGGCTTCAACTGACTTCCCTCTAAGGTCAAGCAAACATGTTTATGTCAGAGGTTCACTATTATCTGTCAGTCTAATCAGTTCAGCAAACAACATCTTGTGTCAGAAGCTGAAATATTTGGGTCATATCAAGTGCCATGGCAGACTGGAAAAAATAACAGCAGAAGGCATGGTACCAACAAGGAGGGGCTGGGGCCGACCAACACGAAGATGGGCACAGGATATAAGTGACTCCTTGAATATGAAAGTGCATGAGGCGGGAGAGCTGGTGAGAGAACAAGTTTCTTTCAAGCAGACCGTGATGAGAGCAACGTTCTGTAAAGGACCTGCTACACAATAATGAGTCAGTATAGTTAGCTAGTTAGTCGAGGTTCCAACATTACAACAGATGGGTCGCCGCATAACTACTCCGTTCCTGTGCCAGTGTACATCAAACAAAATGTTCTTCACTGTCGAAATTTGAAAATTGGTGAAAAACTTGTTAGTCCAAGCAAAATCTTGAAGCTTGCACATGCAAAGTAAAATGCAAAAGGCAGCTGTCAGATGTGCCAACACTAAAAGACTCACAGCAGAATTGTAGCTGCTCACTGTTGGTGCCAATGGTCAATCATAAAAGCCATCATCGCACCTGCAAAAGTACACACCATCCTTGATATAATCAGCCATCCACCATTTTAGTGTAGTTAACATCACACTACGGGCACAACAGAAGAAACAAATTTCCACATGAAATCCACATCTCACTGTGTCACAACAAAAACTCAACTCAGTAGCTGGGCAATGAAAACTTTGGACTTCCTGTCCAGAAATGGGAAATTTGCATCAGCAAAATCTAGCTGGAAATAAAATTTCTATAGCGTCATCGGTCACCTATCTATCTGCCTTTTTTGATCGTTGAGTGTTAATGATATTTGCTCTGCAAGTTTATGAGTACACTACTGGGGTGACAGTTAATTACATTCACTACTCTTTTTTGCTTTAATTTTGTTGAAATGTTATATAAACACAATGTATGGTCATTTCAAGCACCATGGCAGATCGGAAAAAATAACAGCAGAAGGCATGGTATCAGGAAGGAGGGGCCGGGGCCGAACAACATGAAGATGGGCACAGGATATAAGTAACTCCTTGAATATAAAAATACATGAGCTGACGAGAGACTGAGTTTTTTTCAGGCAGACCGAGATGACAGCAACGTTCTGCAAAGGACCTACTACATGATGATGATGATGTATGAAGTATACAACAGCCTACGCCAGGCATTTATAATTTTTCCTTCTTGCAGAACCCTTTCAACAACGGGGGTTACCAACCCTTATAACCCCTATAAAAAACACTAGAATGTGTACGGTTCCTAGGATGTCAGTAGGAGAATATTTTTGTTTTGTAGATTCTTCTTCTTATCGCTAAGTGCATATAAACTGTGGCTGCAAATTTTGGTTGTTCATCCACATCCACTCCTGGACTCTGGTCTTGATCCGGAACTAGAGTTTTGCTTTGGATGTCTCTTTCTCAGATGAGGCTTACATGTATGCAGTCTCTACTTTAAAAGCAACAACAGAAACAAAAATTTAAAAAAAAAAAAAAAACACCAACAAAACATAAAATTGTATGTACAAAGAAATAACGGACAAGAAATATTATTAATACCAGCATAGCAAACAAATGTCCTACAGTAAATACAAAAATATATATATAAAAAACAAACATACAAAATGATAAGAAAGTTGCATGAATTGCATGAAATACAGTAGTAGGTTATCAACATATAAAATGCTCAGTATATTTGTATCAGTATGATTAGGTAAACACAAATCCCTGGTGTAAAATAATGTAAAAAATTGAATATATTTATAAATGCCATACAAGAAGCTAAGAAACTGGCATATTTTATCATAAATTATACAGAAACAATAAATTAACACATAACATAAATAAAGAAAGAGAAGAAAGGCTGGACATTTATACAGCAACTGCTAAGAGCTGTACGTGTGGGGCAACTTGTAAAGAAATGACCTTTCTTGTGATGGTATAATGATGATGTGTAGATGCTGAACAAGCTACAGAAGAAATGTTCTCCAGGTAATGCCGGTGGTTTGGAAATGAGCAGCAGATAGACTGGCAGCAAATTTTGCAATCTCACGGTGTCAGATCTTCAGGTTGCCCATGTTGGTTCCAGGGCCTATTGTGGCGAAAACAAGAACAGACCCACGGCACGGAGCCAACAGTTTACATACAAGCAAGCCAGATTTGTAAAATGAATGTGCATGCAACACTCATGTTCTGAAACAAGACTTAGGTCCAAACGTGGATGGACAACTGGAACTTTCTGCCAAAGTTTACAGCCGATGAATGCGAAGAAGAAGAAGACCTTCAGACAGCACCAGAGGGGAACATGGATGTCAAAAAACTCAAAACTGATTTCACCCTTCTTTAAAAATAGTTACACTAATATGAAGAAGAACAAGAACAAGAAGAAGAAAAAGAAGAAGAAGAAGAAGTAGGATGAGGTAAAGGAGAAGAAGAAGAAACACTAAGATAACAAAAACTAAATAAACAGAAGCAAAAAAAATGAAGTTAAACCAATAGGTATAAGTAATTTGCTTCATGTTAGCAACAAGATTCAGATCATTAAGACATGAAATTTGAAAGCTGGCGGAAACAAATTAATCAGGTATATTCTCATCCTGCGTTGGGTCTCCTTTTTAAAATTTTTTTTGAATTTTTATATTTTTAAACTAGACTCTCATCGCATTTGGAGAAGAAAACAAGAATATCCTGGAACAATAAATCAGTTCATTGTCCCACACTAGAGACTGGCAGAAATGAACTTCCAACACTCTGTCTTCCATTCTGCTTGTACACTCCAGTCAGACTGCTGGTCATCCATCTCTTAATTGAAAATTCCCACCTGATTTATTGTTTATGTCTTGCTCACCTGCCTATAAAAAAATTTTTCTCCAGTATATTTTTGGATAAAAGTCATGTATTTTAAACCTTTTACTTTAACATACCCTGAACCAAGTATTTCTGCCATTTACAATACCCTATAAATACCAGGAACCAGGCATTTCTGCAGTTACCTTACCCCAATTAGGGTTAATGGTTAATGTCTCTGGTTGTGTTAGTGCCTGCACAGCATTTTGGAGTTAAGGAAATGAATATATATACTAAAAATATCACAGGGTGGGATCCTTGTGATCAAATAGTTTTTAAAAAGCTATTTTAATTTCATAACTTGCCCATTGTATTTAGACTTAAAAAGCCATGGGGGTCATAGAATGAGTGACCTGATTCACTTTTAGGCTCTGGGAATGTATTGAATTTAATGCTTCACTCTGTGTGTGTTTATTGATTATTCCCTTTATACATTTCTGAAAATGCTGAATGTTGAATTAATAATCGACATCACAGCACTCGGGATACTCCTATAAGTGCTCAGTCCCCATCTTCAGCAACAAGAGAAGAGTTCCAATTCTGATGGTACCAGTAACTGGCTGATTGTATATCCATCTCATTTTCCCCCTGAGTGTTGAGCGTCGACTGCATCCCCTGGTAACTCCTCGCAGCGCCATTCTCCTTGAGGAAAGGCAAGACAGACATACAACCAGACTAGGACCGGCACCATTATTATTGGAACTCTGCGCTGGCT